TCAAGTTGTTACTAAAGTGCTGTGCACAAAAGTACACTAGAAGCATGAAAGCACGATTCAAGAACAAAGTTTTTACGCTTCAACTGGAACGTATTAGGGCTCTGTCAACGTCTGTATCAGGTGTTGAGACTAGGAATGCTATTGATCAAACTGACAGAGTGTCTACTGCTACAGGTGATGCTGAGCAGCAGGTCAGGCAACTAGAAGTTTTGATTGAGAATCAGATACAGAAAGAGACTAGTCAGAATATGCTTCGCTCTGCCACTCGTTGGTTAGAACAGGGAGAACGTAGCAACAAGTATTTCTATCGTTCGATCAAGGTGCGAGAGTCTCAACAGACAATTCAATCCTTAAAGTGCTCTACTACTGGAGATATCTTGGTGGAAGCAGCAGCTATCAACAGGGAGGCACAAGGTTTTTACCAAAGGCTATATACCCCTGATGCTGTCGATGCTGAAGCTATCGATACTCTCCTGGGGAATGTTCCAACTGATGTACGTCTATCATCTTTGGATGGTGATATGCTAATGGAACTTCCAACTCGCGAGGTTTTGTTGTCTCTGCTCACTCATGCTCCCAAGTCTAAAAGTCCTGGTCTTGACGGTTTGCCTTTTGAATTATATCAATATCTTGCTGGTGTTTCAACTGATTTTCTTGACTTGCTTGTGGATGTGTTGGGTGCAGCTTTTTCTGGTGTGTTTCCTCCTTCGTGGCAGCAAACTCGTATGGTCTTATTGTTCAAGAAGGGTGACCCTCAGTTGTTGGTTAACTGGAGACCTTTGTCCTTAATTAACAGTGATGCCAAGTTATTTACAAAGCTCATTGCTAATCGTATGAACAAAGTGTTGCCAAAGTTAATCAACCCTTATCAAACTGGTTTTCTCCCTCATCGTCTGATCTCTGACAATGGCTGGTTAAATCAGTTGTTGATGTCTCACTTGCGTGTTGTTGCTCCTGATTTACCTCAAGTGGCTGTTTTGTTGGATCAAGAGAAGGCGTATGATCGGGTTCATCCCGAGTATCTTTGTCGTGTGTTGCTCCGGTTTGGTTTCCCTGGTGAGTTGGTGTCTTGTCTGTCTTCTTTGTTCTTTGGAACCAAGATTTCAGTGTCTATCAATGGTTGGCTTGGTGCTCCTGTACCTCAGTTGCGAGGTCTTCGTCAAGGTGATCCTCTCTCTCCATTGCTATTCAATCTGGCATTTGAGCCTTTGCTTCGTTCTCTTCTTGCTTGTCCTGGTCTCTCTGGTGTTACTCTGTCTCCTGTTGATATCCCACGTAAATGGAAGCCTTCACCGGTTGAAGTTCGTGTGGATCATGGTACTGGTGCCCGGAATTGGACTTTGGACTTTGTTAGTGGCTCTGTTGCTCCTCCTCCTGTCAAGATTCTGAGCTATGCGGATGATCTTGAGGTGTTTTTGTCTTCGCCAGAAGAGTGGTCTGTGTTGTTGTCTGTTCTTGATCTGTATGGCCGAGCATCTAATGCGAAAGTCAATATCAGCAAGACAGTGTTGGTGTCGTTGTCTGGTGTGTCTCACTCTGCTTGGGTTGCTTTGGCTGATTCTACTGGTCTCCAGTGGCATGACGCTCACTCTCGTGGTGCAGTACGTTACTTGGGTTATCCCTTGTATCATACTGAAAGTCAACTTCAAGACTATCTTGATGGTGTCTTGGTGAAGGTCCAGCGACACAGTAACTTGTTGAAACAAAGGAATCTCTCCATTAGGGGAGCAGGACTAGTGGCTAACTCGTTACTGTTGTCAAAGGTATATCATTTGTTGCGTGTTGTTCCTGGTGGTGGTGTAACTGCGTCGTGGTTGAAGTTGCTCACAAAGGTGGTTCGTGAGTATCTGGTGTCTTTTCGCCCCGGTGTTGCCTGGTCTACTTTGTGTCTTCCTCGCAAATTTGGTGGTGTTGGTCTCGTGGATATAGCAGATCAAAGCTTAGCTTTGCATCTTGTCTATTTGCAACGTTTGTTGCGTCCACCCTCTCCCAGTGATTTTGTCTCCTCTTGGTTGGTGTATGCTTTTCAAGTTTACACTGGTCATAAGTCCATCTTGCCGTGGTTTTGTTTTCCTGGTCTTTACCAGTCTCGTGTGTCTTCTGTGCCTGCTCTAACACATCTCGGAAAGCTTCTGTTGAGATTGCCAAAGTTAGTTCCTTCCTCTGGTTGGTCTGCTAGGTGGTTTCTTGATCTTCCCTTGTGTTCTGTACTCAGTACTGTGCCTTCTGTTCGTCCTCCTCGTGATCCATCATCTCTTGATCCTCGTTTCTTAGTGTCGGATGTCTCTTTCTGGCAACCTGATCTAGGTATAGTTGATGGTGTCACTTCCCATCTTGCTTGGTCATCTCGTGTTTTGCGCCCTGTTTTTCTTGCCTTGAACCGTGATCGTGGTCCTGTCTCTCTGGTATTCCCGCCTGTCATGGATAGTAAGATAGTCTTGTCTCAAGCAGACTATTTTACTATGCCCCGTTCTGATGGTGCTACCTCTTGGATGCCAGATTGTACTCATTGGACTGTCTCCAACTCGTCTCGTTCTGCTGCTCCGGTTGCTCGTCTCTCTCTTGGTGCTTTGCGAAGGTATTGGCACCCTGCAAAGGGTACCATTACCTCTCGTATGGGTCCTCCCTTGAAGTTGCCTGCCCATTTGTTGATATCTCCTGCTTTGTGGCGTCTTTTCTGGTCCCTGGAAATGCCTGCAAAGGCTTTCACACCTTGGTGGCGATTGCTACATGACCGTGTCCCGCACCGTTCGTGGTGCCATAGGATTATGCCTACAAAAGTTCTGTCTCCTGCTTGTGCTCTTTGTGGTTTTGCTACAGAGGACCTTTACCATTTCGTGGTGGGTTGCCATATCAAGTCATTTTTCTGGCAGGATGTAGTCTCTTTGTTGTCACTTCAAGAGCTACTCCCCTCTGCTTCTTCTATTTGGTTGGCGCTGACTACCTTTTGTAGTGGTTCAGATTTGTTGGTGATCGATGAGGATGTTCTGATTGCTCTTGGTGCTGCTTACAGTACACTTTGGAAGTATCATTGGCGATGCGTCATAGACGAGGAGCCTTGGATAGCTTCTGCTGCTATCAACATGGTCCGTCAAGACCATGGTACACTCTTTTCTTCTCTTTCTTTGGCAAGTGTTCAAGCTGGCACCTTGGCCTTGCCTATAATTACTGTATAGACTATAAATTTCAAAGCTAATAAAGATACACTTTAATACAAAAAAAAAAAAAAAAAAAAAAGGGCTCTTTCGCTTATACATCACTTTTCAAAAAGTTTTTGTTTTTGCCAACTTTGAACGACGATATCTCAACAACTAGGATACATCCATCTTGCATCCAAGTATATTTAAATACATCCATTTCAGCTCTACAACATATCTTGATTTCAGATCGATTCAGCAATTTTTCGACGAATTCAACATTTTCACTATTTTTTACAAAAGTCAACAAAAGTTACACTCCAGTTACAAGTTACACTCTATGTCAGTCAATTCTGAAATGACTTGGGCTGAACGTGCATCTCGTGGTTCTACTATGAGGTTCTATCAGCCATCCAAGAGGCGTTCGGTGGAGGCCGCCGCTTCTTCTTACCCTTTGGTGGGTTCTGTGATGTTTGAGGATGATGATTTGAAGAGTCAAATCTTAGCTAGTAAGGCAATGGCGATTGTGCAGCAGGCACTTACTTCTGGTTCAGTTCTCTTTTCTTTCCGTAAGGGTTTGTTTGGTGATCGTGTGGATGCGTACAAGGTAATTCAAACCCAGGTGTCTTCTCTGGTGGAATTTCGTCCTTTAAGTGTCTACGATGAAAAGAACGATGGTTCTTTGCTTATTGAAGCCAAGTTCGAGGAGGTGGATGATGCGAACAAGGCTATGACAACTGGTGTTAACGTGAATGGCATGGTGTACAAGGCTGTTCACGCCAAGGAATGCAAGGAGTTTGGTGATTTGAAGTTTGTCCAGTTTACTTTGATGCGCATCGTCAAAGAACCCACTTTTTTGCATGATTTGATCAAGTCTTTGTCGTTTTATGGTCGTGTCCTGCAGGTGAAGAAGTTCACTCGTGGTGGTTTCTTTGAGGGCAAGTTTTCGGTGATGGTGGATACCTCGGTGGGATATCAGGTAGAGGGTGGTGAGTGGCAGGAGGCTCAACCTCTAGATAGAATGCTCTATCTCAGCGAGTTTGATTGCTTTGTCGCAGCGACATATAAGGGTGCTCCACCTGTTTGTCATTTCTGTCGTCATAGTGGTCATGTCCGCGCTAAATGTCCTGAGTTGCTCCAGCGTAGATGTTATGGATGTGGAAAGCATGGTCACATGTTGCGTTTTTGTCCTGGTAAGGAGGATCAATCTGGTGCCAAGAAGCAAAAGGTGGATCATCAACTGAAGGATTCGGAGGAGGTCACTGAGGCACGTCGACAGACGGTGCATTTGATGGATGTCGTTGCTAAGGCAAAGCTAGGAGCAGGTAGGGAAGTGGAAGAGAAAGTGGAAGAAGAAGAACTCGAGTCTGTAATAGACGAAGAGGAAGAATCTCTTCAGGGTGTTGTTGATGGTGTTGACGCGTCTGAAAATGACAAGTCCACTAAAAGTGATAATTTGGAGGTGCAAATGGAGGATCTTCAAGGTGAAGATCATCAGGATAAGTTACACGGAGATGATGCTATGGAAGAAGATGATGAGATCGTGCTTGCTGGTAGTGGTGTCAAGAAGCTTCCTGATGTGCGTGGCTCTGCATTCTCGAAATACGCTTCTAATGAGGTGGCTCTTACTATGAATGTTGACTCTCCAGAGGAGATGATGGGTTTGTCTAAGCTCAAGGAGGCCTCTCAGAGGAAGCGAATGGAATTGAATGCCAATTTGAAGGCTGTGAATGGTGCTGGTGTTGCTTCTGGTACTGGTGTTGGTGTTCTTGGTAACAAGTCTGCTGGTGCTGTTGGTGTCAAGAATAGCAAGACTAATGGCCGTGCGCTTCTCAAGACTAAGCAAGACGCCCGTAGGGCTCAATGAGTACAAAATTAGGCATCAAGATTGGCTCCTTGAACACGCGTAGCTTGTTCATGCAGTCTAATCCTACAAATTTCAAAGAGTTCTCATCTTATCTTCGCTCCTCCTCTCTCCATCTGGATATCCTTTGCTTGCAAGAGGTATCTCATTTCCGCTCTCAATCTACTCTTACTGAATCTCAAGTCCGTTCCTTTTCTTTTGCTTTTCCCAATTGTTCTCTTGTTGTGTCTAAACACTGTGCTATTGTATGTCTTAATTCTCGGTTTTCCCTGGTGGATACGGAGGTATTGTTGGATGAACGTTGTCTTGTTGCATCTGTCGTAGATGCCTCAAGCAATGTTTTGTGCAAAGTGGCCAATATTTATGGTCCCGCGCAGTCTTTTGACCGTCCTTCATTTATCTCTGATTTTCTCTCTCTTTCTGTTTGGTCTGATGTGTTCAACACACCTTGGATGGTTATGGGTGATTTCAACATTCACTTGCATTCTTTGTCTACTTCTCGTCAAGCCGATGTCGCTCCTTTTGTTCACTGGTTGCGTACTCACTTTGTCAATTGTCATCCGGATGGTTTAGCTACGTTTCCAAAGAGCAATACTTGTATTGATTACATCTTTGGTCACTCTTCTCTTGCTCCTCGTTTGACTAATAGTCAGTTACTATATATGCCTAGTAGGTGGACGGATCACTCTCTTTTGACTGTTGAAATGTTGCCTGCGACAGCTAGTATTGGTCCTGGTAGTTGGCGGTTCAATCCAACTCTGCTTGATGATAAGGAATTTGTTGCGTTGTTGAATGCCACGGTGTCATTGTTCTTCTCTGGTGCTGTTGGTGGTGGGTCTAAGGGTGTCAATACTAGTCAAGGTGGTAGTGGTGACTCTGAAAGCACGGTGGCTAGATGGGAATCCTTCAAGTTGTTACTAAAGTGCTGTGCACAAAAGTACACTAGAAGCATGAAAGCACGATTCAAGAACAAAGTTTTTACGCTTCAACTGGAACGTATTAGGGCTCTGTCAACGTCTGTATCAGGTGTTGAGACTAGGAATGCTATTGATCAAACTGACAGAGTGTCTACTGCTACAGGTGATGCTGAGCAGCAGGTCAGGCAACTAGAAGTTTTGATTGAGAATCAGATACAGAAAGAGACTAGTCAGAATATGCTTCGCTCTGCCACTCGTTGGTTAGAACAGGGAGAACGTAGCAACAAGTATTTCTATCGTTCGATCAAGGTGCGAGAGTCTCAACAGACAATTCAATCCTTAAAGTGCTCTACTACTGGAGATATCTTGGTGGAAGCAGCAGCTATCAACAGGGAGGCACAAGGTTTTTACCAAAGGCTATATACCCCTGATGCTGTCGATGCTGAAGCTATCGATACTCTCCTGGGGAATGTTCCAACTGATGTACGTCTATCATCTTTGGATGGTGATATGCTAATGGAACTTCCAACTCGCGATGTTTTGTTGTCTCTGCTCACTCATGCTCCCAAGTCTAAAAGTCCTGGTCTTGACGGTTTGCCTTTTGAATTGTATCAATATCTTGCTGGTGTTTCAACTGATTTTCTTGACTTGCTTGTGGATGTGTTGGGTGCAGCTTTTTCTGGTGTGTTTCCTCCTTCGTGGCAACAAACTCGTATGGTCTTATTGTTCAAGAAGGGTGACCCTCAGTTGTTGGTTAACTGGAGACCTTTGTCCTTAATTAACAGTGATGCCAAGTTATTTACAAAGCTCATTGCTAATCGTATGAACAAAGTGTTGCCAAAGTTAATCAACCCTTATCAAACTGGTTTTCTCCCTCATCGTCTGATCTCTGACAATGGCTGGTTAAATCAGTTGTTGATGTCTCACTTGCGTGTTGTTGCTCCTGATTTACCTCAAGTGGCTGTTTTGTTGGATCAAGAGAAGGCGTATGATCGGGTTCATCCCGAGTATCTTTGTCGTGTGTTGCTCCGGTTTGGTTTTCCTGGTGATTTGGTGTCTTGTCTGTCTTCTTTGTTCTTTGGAACCAAGATTTCAGTGTCTATCAATGGTTGGCTTGGTGCTCCTGTACCTCAATTGCGAGGTCTTCGTCAAGGTGATCCTCTCTCTCCATTGCTATTCAATCTGGCATTTGAGCCTTTGCTTCGTTCTCTTCTTGCTTGTCCTGGTCTTTCTGGTGTTACTCTGTCTCCTGTTGATATCCCACGTAAATGGAAGCCTTCACCGGTTGAAGTTCGTGTGGATCATGGTACTGGTGCCCGGAATTGGACTTTGGACTTTGTTAGTGGCTCTGTTGCTCCTCCTCCTGTCAAGATTCTGAGCTATGCGGATGATCTTGAGGTGTTTTTGTCTTCGCCAGAAGAGTGGTCTGTGTTGTTGTCTGTTCTTGATCTGTATGGCCGAGCATCTAATGCGAAAGTCAATATCAGCAAGACAGTGTTGGTGTCGTTGTCTGGTGTGTCTCACTCTGCTTGGGTTGCTTTGGCTGAATCTACTGGTCTCCAGTGGCATGACGCTCACTCTCGTGGTGCAGTACGTTACTTGGGTTATCCCTTGTATCATACTGAAAGTCAACTTCAAGACTATCTTGATGGTGTCTTGGTGAAGGTCCAGCGACACAGTAACTTGTTGAAACAAAGGAATCTCTCCATTAGGGGAGCAGGACTAGTGGCTAACTCGTTACTGTTGTCAAAGGTATATCATTTGTTGCGTGTTGTTCCTGGTGGTGGTGCTAACTGCGTCGTGGTTGAAGTTGCTCACAAAGGTGGTTCGTGAGTATCTGGTGTCCTTTTCGCCCCGGTGTTGCCTGGTCTACTTTGTGTCTTCCTCGCAAGTTTGGTGGTGTTGGTCTCGTGGATATAGCAGATCAAAGCTTAGCTTTGCATCTTGTCTATTTGCAACGTTTGTTGCGTCCACCCTCTCCCAGTGATTTTGTCTCCTCTTGGTTGGTGTACGCTTTTCAAGTTTACACTGGTCATAAGTCCATCTTGCCGTGGTTTTGTTTTCCTGGTCTTTACCAGTCTCGTGTGTCTTCTGTGCCTGCTCTAACACATCTCGGAAAGCTTCTGTTGAGATTGCCAAAGTTAGTTCCTTCCTCTGGTTGGTCTGCTAGGTGGTTTCTTGATCTTCCCTTGTGTTCTGTACTCAGTACTGTGCCTTCTGTTCGTCCTCCTCGTGATCCATCATCTCTTGATCCTCGTTTCTTAGTGTCGGATGTCTCTTTCTGGCAACCTGATCTAGGTATAGTTGATGGTGTCACTTCCCATCTTGCTTGGTCATCTCGTGTTTTGCGCCCTGTTTTTCTTGCCTTGAACCGTGATCGTGGTCCTGTCTCTCTGGTATTCCCGCCTGTCATGGATAGTAAGATAGTCTTGTCTCAAGCAGACTATTTTACTATGCCCCGTTCTGATGGTGCTACCTCTTGGATGCCAGATTGTACTCATTGGACTGTCTCCAACTCGTCTCGTTCTGCTGCTCCGGTTGCTCGTCTCTCTCTTGGTGCTTTGCGAAGGTATTGGCACCCTGCAAAGGGTACCATTACCTCTCGTATGGGTCCTCCCTTGAAGTTGCCTGCCCATTTGTTGATATCTCCTGCTTTGTGGCGTCTTTTCTGGTCCCTGGAAATGCCTGCAAAGGCTTTCACACCTTGGTGGCGATTGCTACATGACCGTGTCCCGCACCGTTCGTGGTGCCATAGGATTATGCCTACAAAAGTTCTGTCTCCTGCTTGTGCTCTTTGTGGTTTTGCTACAGAGGACCTTTACCATTTCGTGGTGGGTTGCCATATCAAGTCATTTTTCTGGCAGGATGTAGTCTCTTTGTTGTCACTTCAAGAGCTACTCCCCTCTGCTTCTTCTATTTGGTTGGCGCTGACTACCTTTTGTAGTGGTTCAGATTTGTTGGTGATCGATGAGGATGTTCTGATTGCTCTTGGTGCTGCTTACAGTACACTTTGGAAGTATCATTGGCGATGCGTCATAGACGAGGAGCCTTGGATAGCTTCTGCTGCTATCAACATGGTCCGTCAAGACCATGGTACACTCTTTTCTTCTCTTTCTTTGGCAAGTGTTCAAGCTGGCACCTTGGCCTTGCCTATAATTACTGTATAGACTATAAATTTCAAAGCTAATAAAGATACACTTTAATACAAAAAAAAAAAGTTTGTTTTTGCCAGGGCGGCCTTATAAAGTTTTGTCTCCTGCTTCGTGGCGTCTTTTCTGGTCCCTGGAAATGCCTGCAAAGGCTTTCACACCTTGGTGGCGATTGCTACATGACCGTGTCCCGCACCGCTCGTGGTGTCATAAGATTATGCCTACAAAAGTTCTGTCTCCTGCTTGTGCTCTTTGTGGTTTTGCTACAGAGGACCTTTACCATTTCGTGGTGGGCTGCCATATCAAGTCATTTTTCTGGCAGGATATAGTCTCTTTGTTGTCACTTCAAGAGCTACTCCCCTCTGCTTCTTCTATTTGGTTTGGCGCTGACTACCTTTTGTAGTGGTTCAGATTTGTTGGTGATCGATGAGGATGTTCTGATTGCTCTGGGTGCTGCCTACAGTACACTTTGGAAGTATCATTGGCGATGCGTCATAGACGAGGAGCCTTGGATAGCTTCTGCTGCTATCAACATGGTCCGTCAAGACCATGGTACACTCTTTTCTTCTCTTTCTTTGGCAAGTGTTCAAGCTGGCACCTTGGTCTTGCCTGTGAATTCTGTATAGATTATAAATTTAAAGCTAATAAAGATACACTTTAATACAAAAAAAAAGGTCTTGTAGAATTTTATACATCTTCAAAAAGTTTTTGTTTTTGCCAAATTTGAACGACGATATCTCAACAACTAGGATACATCCATCTTGCATCTAAGTATATTTAGATATACCCATTTCAGCTCTATAACATATCTTGATTCAGATCGATTCAGCAATTTTTCGTCGAATTCATCTTTTTCACTACTTTTTCAACAACGCGACTTAGTTACACTCTAGATTACAAGTGACACTCTACGTCTGTTACACTCCATGTCTTCCAATCTGAATTGACTTGGGCTCAAAGAGCTTCAGTCAAAGGTGGGTCGATTTTTCTCCAACCCACAAGCGACGATTTGACAATCCAACTGATGTACCACTGGTGGGTACTGTTCTCTATGAAGATAACGACCTAAAGGGTCAAAATTTGGCAAGCAAGGCTATGGCGATTATTCAGCAAACCTTTCTTCTGTTCTGTTCTGTTCACGTTTCAGAAAACTTTGTTTCCTGATCGTGTTGCCGCTTACAAAGTGATTCAGGATCAAATCTCACCTGACGTGGAATTTCGACCTCTTAGTTTTGTATGATTCTCGTGCTGATTGGTTCTCTGCTGATTGAAGCAGGTTTGCTTCAGGTGGAGCATGCACAACTGGCTATGCGTGAAGGGGTGACTGTACAAGGTGTAGTGTACAAAGCGTCTACCTCCAAGGAAAGTGCTGATTTGGGATGTCAAGCATGTGCGGTTTACACTTATGCGTATGGTGGACAAGACCACTTTTTTGTCGATCTTATGGAGTCCTTGTCGTACTTTGGTAAGGTACTGCAAGTGAAGAAGTTTACTCACCGTGGTTACTTTGAGGGTAAACTTTCGGTGATTTTGGATACTTCTGTTGGATTTCAGGTAGGGGATGAGTGGCAGGAGGCCAAGCCCCTAGATAGAATGCTCTATCTGAGCGAATTTGACTGTTTGTGCCAGCGACTTATCAAGGTGCT